ATTTTTTAACCGTCTATGTCGTTCCGAGTTATGTCTATTGGGCTATTCTCAATGTTTTTGGTTTAGCCCACGTTTTTTAGGTTGTGTTTTTTAAATAAGGCCCAAAGCCAAGAGTCGGTATGATTTAGGAATTCAAAATACCAGGTCGTTCCCTTTATCCTTTGTGTTGAACAAGAATTAGGGATATCTTTTAATTTGTTATGTTTTGAGTCTTTTTCGTTCTTTCTGTTTTGTAATGGCTATAAAAGCCCTTTTGCTCTTGAATAAAAGTATCAGAGATTGTGAGTCGAATCAATTGTTATCACTTGTTTTCTACAAGTGGTATCAGAGCGCAATTCCATTCACGAGAGTTCCTGAGAAGTGCTAAAAGCAAAAATCATCGTCAGTCATGGGGGAGGAAACAGGACAGTTTCATGGCCCTAGCGTACCCAAATTCGATGGAGACTACGATCATTGGAGTATGGTAATGGAGAATCTTCTCCGATCGAAAGAGTACTGGCGAGTGGTAGATGATGGGTACACTGTGATCAGACAAGGAGAACAGGAAATGACGACACAACAAAAGAACTATGATGAGAACAAGCTTAAGGATTTGAAAGCTTGTAATTATCTGTTCCAATCGATAGACAAATCGATTTTAAAGCAAATCCAACAAAAGGAAACGACAAAACAGATTTGGGATGCCATGAAGCTGAAATTTTGAGGAAATGCCAGAGTGAAGCGAGCCCAATTGCAGAGACTTCGAGACTCTAGAGATGAAAGCTGGGGAGACAGTGACTGATTATCTTGGACGCGTCATGGAGGTTTCAAACGATATGCGGAATGCAGGAGAAGACATGACTGATGTGAAGATTGTGGAAAAGGTACTAAGAACCATGACAGAAAGTTTTAACTTTGTGGTTTGTACCATAGAAGAATCAAAAGACATAGACTCCGTGACAGTAGATGAGCTTCAAAGCTCATTACTAATTCATGAACAGAAGATCAGAAGGAAGGTGAATGATGAACAAGTTCTAAAGGTCAAAAGTGATCAGAGTGTTGGACGAGGTAGAGGTCGAGGTAGAGGAAATTCACACAGGGGAAGAGGACGTGGCAGAGGAAGATCACAAAGCGAGAACAAGCCACAATTTGACAAGTCTCGGATTGAATGTTATAGATGTCATCAGCTTGGACACTTTCAGTATGAATGTCCAAATGAAGCCAAACAAGTAAATTACACATAATTTGAAGAGAATGAAAAATTTTTGTTGATGGCATATGTTGACATTGAAGGATATGAAAGAGAAACCAAAAGACTAATGATGGCTGTGAAAGAAGATAAGCATGATAAGAAGGCGTTTTGGTTTCTGGACTCAGCTTGCTCAAATCACATGACAGGCACCAAAGAATGGTTCATGTACTTAGATGAAACATACCAACATAAAGTCAGACAAGGGAATGATCACAAGCTTGAAGTTAAAGGAAAGGGTGATATTCGTATCAGTGAGAATGGCATGAAACAGGTAATTACAAATGTGTACTATGTGCCATCTCTAACATCAAACCTCTTGAGTGTTGGACAGCTTCAAGAAAAATCCTTGACTTTTGTCGTTCAAGGAAATTTTTGTAGGGTCTTTCATCCTCAAGAGGGTTTGATCATTTCATCCAACATGACAAAGAATAGGATGTTCTCGGTGTATGTTTTATCTCAAGCTCAACAACTAGAGTGTTTACAAGTAAGTGGTGGTTCCAACACTGAATTATGGAACAAGAGGTTTGGACACGTCAATCATAAGGCCATTAGAACCATGTTGTACAAAGGAATGGTGGTAGGACTACCTACTGTAGCCGAGAAACATGGTGTATGCGAGACCTGTGCCATTGGGAAACAACAAAGAGAAACAATACCCAAGAAAAGCAACTGGCATGCTACAGAGAAACTACAATTGATACATACAGACCTGTGTGGGCCTATCACTCCTGCTTCTAACAGTGGAAAAAGGTACATACTAGTCTTCATCGATGACTATACTAAAAAGTGTTGGGTTTATTTCCTGTCACAGAAAGGTGAAAGCTTTGAACTATTCAAGAGATTTAAAAGATTTGTGGAAGTAGAAACCGGAATGAACATCAAGTGTTTGAGAAGTGACAGGGGGGAGTTCAATTCGACCGCATTCAATGAATATTGTAAAGATCAGGGCATTAAGAGACAACTTACAGCTGCTTATACCCCACAGCAAAATGGGGTTGCAGAACGTAGGAACCAGACTCTATTGAATATGGTTAGATGTCTCCTAACTGAAAAATCTATGCCCAATTATTTTTGGTCAGAAGCAGCAAGGTGGGCATGTCATGTGTTAAATAGGTGTATGAGCAGAAGTCTTGATGAAAAGGTACCTGAAGAACTATGGACTGGGTCAAAACCAAGTGTTGAGCATTTCAGGGTGTTTGGTTGTATAGGGCATGTTCATATACCTTCTCAACTACGAACGAAACTAGATCCAAGAAGTCATAAGTGTGTGTTTCTTGGTGTTAGCCAAGAGTCTAAAGCTTATCGATTATATGACCCATCCAGCAAGAAAATTATGATCAGCAGGGACGTAATCTTTGATGAAGATGCAGTCTGGAATTGGTCTAAAGAGAAACAGGAAACTCAAGAACTGATTGTAGAGGATGATGAACGAGTTCAGGAAAATCCACAAGAAGGGGATGAACGAGAAGATGAAAATACAGAGGGTCCACAAATTTCGTCAAACTCAAACCCATCTGAAGAAGAAGCTGACTCTCCAGTTCAAGGTACATCTCAACCTGAAAATTCATGTGAAAATTCTGACAGCCCAGTTTCGCCTGCCTCAGAAAATTCACAGAATCAAAACACACCACCTAGTCGCATTCGACGAACACCTGCATGGATGAATGACTACCACATGACAAAGGACATGTTCAATGAAGATGAAGCTGGTTTTGCAATGTATAGTGCCATGGATGATCCTTTAACATACGAAGAAGCATGTAAAGAAGACAAGTGGATACAAGCAATGAATGCTGAAATGACCGCCATAGAAAGAAACAATACCTGGAAATTGGTTGATCCTCCACCTGGAATCAAGCCTATATGGGTAAAATGGGTATTCACGACAAAAATAAATGAACTTGGAAAGGTTGAAAAATACAAAGCAAGGTTAGTAGTAAAGGGATATGCTCAGTGGGAAGGAATAGATTACAATGAAGTGTTTGCCCCAGTAGCCTGTTGGGACACAATCAGAACCCTAATAGCAATGGCGGCTCAAAGAAAGTGGATAGTGTACCAACTAGATGTTAAAAGCGCTTTATTGAATGGCGAGCTCAAGGAGGTGGTACATGTCACTCAACCAAAGGGCTTCATAAAGAAAGGAGAAGAAACAAAGGTGTACAGGCTGAATCGTGCACTGTATGGATTAAAACAAGCGCCTCGAGCTTGGTTTAATCGAATTGAAGGTTATTTTTTGCGGGAAGGTTTCAAGAAAAGCAGCTATGATCATACTCTATTTGTGAAGAAGGAACAGGATAAAATCATCTTTGTTACCTTATATGTTGATGATTTAATATATGCTGGAAATGATCATGCCTTGTGCGAAGCATTCAAAAATTCTATGCAACAAGAATTTGAGATGATAGATTTAGGGCAGATGAAGTACTTTCTTGGAGTAGAAGTGAATCAGAATTCAGAAGGTATTACTTTGTGTCAATCGCAATATGCAAAGGAAGTCTTAAAAAGATTCAAGATGAGTGAAGCAAATGGTGTGAAGAATCCAATTATCCCAGGTACCAAACTTATGAAACTAGCAGCAGGGAAGGATGTTGACAGCACCAAATATATGAGTCTTATAGGCAGTCTCATGTATTTGACTGTGACACGTCCAAATTTGATGTATGTAGTCAGCTTGCTAGCAAGATTTATGGCAAAGCCCAAGGAGGAACACATGGCAGTGGCAAAACGAGTCTTGAGGTATATAAAGGGTACTATGAATTATGGGCTACACTATGGGAAGGATCAAAGTCATAAATTAAAAGTGTTTACTGACAGCAATTATGCACGTGATCTAGAGGACCGGAAAAGCACCTCTGGATATGTATGTTTATTTGGTGGAGCTGCAATATGTTGGATTTCTAGAAAACAAGAAGTTGTCACTTTATCATCAACAGAAGCAGAATGCGTTGCAGCTACAACATGCGCATGTCATTGTGTATGGTTGAAAGGTCTCCTTGAAGAACTTGAAGAAAAGGCAGGTACTGTGGAGGTTATGTGTGACAACTGTTCAACTATAAAGCTATCAAAGAATCCAGTAATGCATAGAAGAACAAAGGATATAGATGTTCATTTTCACTATATCCGGGAATTAGTGAACAAAGACATTATACGACTAAAGTTTTGTGGCACCAAGGAGCAGCTAGCAGACATGATGACCAAGCCATTGACTTTAGCTGCGTTTGAATTCATCAGAGAAGAAATTGGAGTGAAAGATGTTAAACAAGAAGCTCAACGCTTACCTGTTTAATGGAAGGAATTTATTGGGCTATTCTCAATGTTTTTGGTTTAGCCCACGTTTTTTAGTTTGTGTTTTTGAAATAAGGCCCAAAGCCAAGAGTCGGTATGATTTAGGAATTCAAAATACCAGGTCGTTCCCTTTATCCTTTGTGTTGAACAAGAATAGGGATATCTTTTAATTTGTTATGTTTTGAGTCTTTTTCGTTCTTTCTGTTTTGTAATGGCTATAAAAGCCCTTTTGCTCTTGAATAAAAGTATCAGAGATTGTGAGTCGAATCAATTGTTATCACTTGTTTTCTACAATGTCTTGTTGGATTAGGAGTTTTTTGGTACTATAATTTCTTTTGCAAAACACATCATTGCAGTTAGGACCTCGTGAAAACATTGATGAATCGTTTGTGTGGAGTGATGAAATCTTCCCTTAATCGTGTGAAAACGCTCATTATGTCCTATAACATGTAAGAACATAACCATCTTCTCTTCAATGCTTATT